TGCACCGCAAAACTTTGTGTCTCCGACCTTATAAAGGACTGGCTTTTGGTCTGCCTGGGTTTGGGCAAAATTAAGTCTTTCCCGGGCTGTCCCTCAAGCGCTCCACTCTGAGCCCAAAGTCGGCCCTAGTGCCTCTTAGTCATCTTTTGACCAAACGCAGTGTGGCCTATCTCCGGGGTCACTGAGCTGCTTCTGAATCTGACTGCTGAGCAAAGGGCAGGGGCTGATGTCTGTTCTGCGTTAGAAACACGAGGAACGGGCAACTGGTTGGTGCTGGGAGAACAATCACACCATCAGCCACCTGGAGCTTCCTCTGCACAGTAATTTCCTGTTTTAATGCCTATAGAGAAGCAATAGGGAGCTTTTTCATCCTCCATAGCGTTGAGAAGCCTGATTTGTGGCTTCGTATGATCCTTTTCCAATGGTTAGCCGCAGTTAAACATGAAGTTGCAAAAACTGCACAGCAGAATTACATACGCTGAGTCCATTATGCTTCCACTGACACAGGGATCAATATAAAGATACAAGACACCATACGACATGACTAGCACAGTATCTTTGAACCTTAAAGTCTAATTATGTCAGTGAGAAGTTAGGTTTGGACTTATGTGGAAGACAGATGAGCGAAGCATTGCCAGCGGCTGGAAATTGTAGCACAGAAAGATCATCACTGGCTTCTCTTCCTCAACAAAAAACCAGACAGGTGGCAGAATGAGGTACTGCTTTTTTCCTTATCTACAAGTTGCACACATCTAGTCAACACCCTGCCTCCAGCAAAGCTCTTTTGCACCTTTTGGCCTGAGTATCCCAAATAATTCAGTATGACCGAGCATGAGGCCCAGGTTTGAAGGAGTGGGCAGACATTTGAATGCTTGTATTTTCGAATGTCCAGGTTGAGAAGCCTTGAATTTGATTTTCCAGAGCCGCTGAGACTTCAGAGGAACGTCACATTCAGTTAGAGCTGTGGGCACTGTGGCTGTTTCTGACAGAAATATTCAGGCAAGGCAGAACCCTTTATAGGGGTTCTGACAGAAACCCTTTGGATCCTTTCCAACCTTTGGAAACCTTTTGGTCCTTCCCAAGATATAGCCACCAGAAGTGACATGATCCGTAATCACATTAGTAGCATAGGCAGAAATACATATCATCTCCTTATGCGTTTTTGCTATTTCTCTTTATATATGCAGTGCTCCTATACTAACTAACTCTGCTGTGGAAGGAAAAGCTGTTCTGCCAGGCTGTGCGCCGTTCTGGTGTTCATACTGTAACTGCAAATGAGCTACACTGATTTTAGAGATTAGCATATTGTAAACTATTCCAGTTAACTTTCCTTCAGAGCTGTTCTTTTCCCCACTTGGTTGTTTTATACTTAAAAGCAGATGGAACAATGCATCCAGATGAGAATATATCAGCCACTGTGGCTGAAAAGACCACTGCCATTTTACCTTGGTGGGTCTTCTGAAAGTTTCCTAAACTTGGTGTCTTAGAGAAGACGTAGAAGTGAATCATAATAATGCAAATAGTTAATACCATGTTTCAAGCAAAAATATTTTTCTGACTTCAGCCTGTGACTATCTTAAGAGTTACTGTTGTCCTTGTGATTTTCATCCTGTTAATGTAGTTGCAAACACTACTGTATTTTGTAGTAGAAATAAGTTCACAAATGGGACCTGGTGACAAAGGACATGGAGAAGGCTGAGGTACTCAATGCCTCCTTCACTTTGATCTTCCCTGGTAAGATTTGCCTTCAGGAATCCCAGACCTCTGAGACCCATGGGAAAGTCTAGGACAGTGAAGACTTATCCTCAGTAGAGTAGGATCAAGTTGGGGAATATTTGAGCAAATCGGACAGGCACAACTCCATGGGATCTGATGGGATGCACGCATGAATGCTGAGGGAGCTGACGGATGTCATGGTGAGACTACTCTTGATTATTTTTTGAAAGGTCTTGATGATCGGGGGGAGGTTCTTGAGGCCTGGAAGAAGCTATCTCACTGCAATCTTCAAGAAGGGCAAGGAGGATCCTGGGAACTATGGGCTGTTCAGCCTCACTTCAATCCCTGGGAAGGCGGTGGAGCAAATAATCCTGGAAACTGTTTCCAAACATATTAAGAACAAGAAGGTGATTGGAAGTAATCAGCCTGAATTTACAAAGGGAAAGACATGCATGACCAACCTGATAGTCTTTTATGATGAAATCACTAGCTCGGTGGATGAGGGGATAGCAGTGGATGCTGTTTCTCTTAACTTAGGAAGTCTTTCAACACGGTCTCCTGTAATTCCTTCATAGACAAACTGATGGAGTACAGACTGGACAGATGGACAATGAAGTGCACTGAAAACTGGCTGAACTGCTGGGCTCAAAAGGTTGTGAACAGTGGCACAAAGTCCAGAGGGAGGCCAGTCACTGGTGGTGCACCTCAGGGGTCAATACTGGAGGAGTACTGCTTAACATGTATATTAATGACCTCAATGATGAGACAGAGCAATTTGCAAACAATACAAAACAGGGAGGAGTGGCTGATAAACAGATGGTTGTGCTGCCATTCACAGGCACCTTGACAGACTGGACAAAGGGGCAGAACAGAACCTCATGAAGCTCAACAAAGGGAAATGCAAAGTCCTGCACCTGGGGAGGAATAACCCCTTGCACAGGCTAGGGGGGGACCAGCTGGAAAGCAGCTTGTAGTAGAGGCCAAGAGGGCCCAGGTGGACAAGTTGACCATCAGCCAGCAATGTTCCCTTGCAGCAAAGAAGGCAAACAGCATCCAGGGCTGTGTTAGGAAGGGCATTGCCAACAGGTTGAGAGAGATGATCCTTTCCCTATACTCAGTACTGGTGGGACCACACCTGAAGTGCTGGGCTCCCCAGTACAAGAAAGGCATGGACTTACTGGAGCAAAGTCCAGCAAAGGGCCAAGAAGATGAACTATCTGACATAAGAGCAGAGGCTCAGGGTGCTAGGACTGTTCAGCCTGGAGAAGAGAAGGCTCGGGGGGGGGGGGCGGATCTTATCCATGTGTGTAACCACCTGCTGAGAAGGTGTAAAGAAGATGCAGCCAGACCCTTCTCAGTGATACCTAGTGACAGGACAAGGGGCACAAATTGGAATGTGGGAAATTCCATTTAAACATCTGTACTGTAAGCGTAGT